TTTGGTGTTTCTGGGACATGAGATTTAGGAAAGGACAACTTCAGTGGAGAATCTCTCGTGGTATAGTATTCTCGACTGCTTCATGTTTTGGAGTCTCATTTTAAGACTGTTTTTTGATGTTTGTCGGTTTCCTGCCTGCATGCAAGTGGAGTGTCAAGAGCTTCTGTGGTCATAGAAAGTCTGCAAACGAAATTAGCAATGGCAGAGATCTACTAACGCTATGTTTGAACACAGCAGGTTTATGTCAAGAGGCTGCTTGCACACTCACAAGCTTGTGAGGAAGTTCCTCATTTGCTTGCTGTTTGAGATACTTATCAAGTTGAAATTCCACTGAAGGGCTTTTTGAGGGAGGCTTATTGATTTTTATCTGTATATTTTGTTTGTGAGGACACATTTTGGCACTTTTTCCTGATTGATTGTAGTTTCTCTCTACTAACAGACCAGCAGTAACCATCACTGTCAACGACTTATTCGGAATAATTATTTGTTAGGGGAGCTTACCTGGATGATTTGAATTGTGGTGGGTGGGAGTTTGTGTGTGTGTTTGTTTGGACAGAAACTAGCATAAAATGCTGCGTCTTGCTTTTATGTTCAAGCATCACTCCCTGTGTTACGTCAGCTCATAAACTCAGGTAAAAGGCATGTTCAGACACCACCTCGGTATCGGTATGTGTCATTTCACCTGCTCTCTGCCCCGGCTTGTCTGTTTTTAACATGGTAATTCACATACTTATTAACTCGGATGTATACAAGTTGTAGAGATCAACCAAGATGTGTATTTTACACTCTCATTATTTTCATGTCCCTGTTGTGAGAATAGAGAAATCGAGAAATATGCAATATGTCCATTAGATTAATTTTATTTATGTTTATGGAAAGATTACACTTAAGTTAAGTTCGCTTAAGTTAATCTTGGTCTCTTGTTCTTCCAGCTGTACGGTAAATGTGTGGATAGTATTTGTTGAGAAGAGATATGTGCTCTTAATTCTGATCTCTGGCTTTTGTTCAAAAAGGAAGTCTCCATAAGGATGCTGGAAGATTCCCATTCCCCTGAGTGATCTGCATGCCATTTAGAAAGCGGTTTCACTTCTTTATGTTGTGCTGCTGTAATACAAACACATTTACATGTAAAGGAGGAAATACCACTTTTATTTTACATTTAATTATAATTTTAACTCTACATATTTAGAAAATGTGTGTATTTTAAAAACAGTATATATTTATCGATATATGATTGATGTATTTGTGTATTTACTTTTAGTATAGTTTATGTAAGGGATAATCCATGGCTAGCAATTTTAATGCCTGACATTGAGGCGAAGAACCACCCGACTCGGTTTAATGCATAGCTAGCTATTGATTATCCCGGTTATACCATGGCATTGACAACTTAAAGTTGTTATTGATGTTCGCAGCGAAATATTTGACCGAAAGGGTAAAAAATACAGTTATTTTTGTCAGTTACGGCTTGTTAGATGTAGCATACTGCCAGCTTTGAATCAGACACCAGAGATAAGTAGTGCATTACATTTATTTGAATCAATGAACTTTCGCATTTAATTTAATTGATTATTGAGAGAGATGAATTGTGAATTACCTGTCTCTTCAGGATCTCTCTCTATGAACAACTTGCTGTGAGTTTACTTAAACCAGTGATGTTACCAACTTGTCGCAAAGAAATATAATGTAGCAATATCATTAGCGAAGCTAGTACAAAGTCGCTGTGCAGCATTGAAAAGTTTCTGTGCTCATGAATGTTTGAATGTGCAGTGTGATCCCCGAGGCTACATTCACGTAGCTTTTGTAAGAGAAAATGATGAGGACATTATATTAAAGATTTCAATGAAGAAGTTTATTGCAGCATAGCAGTGACAACGTACACAAAGCAACTTGGGTTCAACAGTCCAAAAATGAATCCCGAATAATCTCTGCTCAAAAATTTAATACTGTTTTACATTTGTCTTCCAGCTCAACATATAAATGAAACTTTGTCTTAAATGTAAATTGAGGATAACAATGAAAGTGATAGGCTTCTGTTTCCACATCTTTGCTATTCTTTCAGATGGCAACACCCAAATGTTAAGGTGATAAGATTGTTTGAAATCCCTAATCATTTTTATGCATCCTTTTTAACACAGGGCGGTTCTAGATGGCTACTCCCACGCTATAAGTGATATAGTATCACTCCAGTGGTACTATTTACAAAATTACTAAGATTGGGAGGAATTGTCTCTATGATAATTGAGCTCTTTATAGGGAGAGAGCATATTCTAATACATATCTTGGAATGAAAGCTGGGTCTTCTTCAGACTTTAATTTCTTACAGTAATATATCAAAACTTATGAGGACTTTAAAGATCTTGATGAAGAAGTTTATCACAGCATATCAGTGACAAAGTACATGAAACACATTGGGTTCATTTGTGTTAGAATGAATAATCCATGCTCAAACATTGTATACTGCATCACATTCGTCTTTGTGCTGGTGTTGAGCAGTGCTTGGTTTCCTCCATACATGATGCTTGGAACTGAGGTTCATCAGACAAGAGAATCGTGTTTCTTTCAGTCTGAGAGAGTCCTTTAGGTGTTGTTTTGCTAATTCCAAATGGGTTTTCATGTGTCTTCACTGAGGTGTGGCTTGAGTCTGGCCGCTCTGCCATAAAGCCCAGATCGGTCGAGTGTTGCAGTGATGTTTGTCCTTCTGTAAGTTTCTCTCATCTCCATATGGAGCGTAATCCATCATCTTCTTGGTTATCACTCTAACTAAAGCCCTTCTTTATCGGTTACTCAGTTTGGCTAGAAGGCCTGCTCGAGGAAGAGTCCCTGGTTGCTACAAACATTAAGGATTATGGTGGCTAGTCTACATGCTTCTGTGAACCTTCAATGCAGAATCATTTTTTATAGTCTTTCCCAGATCTATGTCTTTAACACAATATTGCATCTGAGCCCCTCTGGTAGTTCATTTGACATCATGTCTTGGTTTTTGCTCTGATATGCATTTTTAGATGTCAGAACGTTTATTGAGAGGGGTGTGCCCTCCCAAATCATACGCATTCAATTGAATTTGCCCCAGGTTAACTCAACTCAAAGTGTAGTAACATCCACAAGTGAAATTGGAATTTATTTCTTATAAATTTGCAAAGTTATCAAAAAACTGTTTTTGCTTTGTCATATGATGTATTGTGTGTATATTAATATGGGGGGAAATTGTTTAAAGTAGTTGTACAAGCCAGCAACATAAAATGGGAAGCAATTAAGTCATTTGAATACTTTCCCAAGGCACTGTATTTTTTGGCTAGTTGCATTTAAATTATAATAATAATTTATATAATATATTTTTAATGAAATATTTATTTCTACTCAATTCTACTTTTTTAAAATATAAACATTTAAATGGTGGCTGTCATAAAAAAAAAACGACTGATTTATTTTAAAAAATTAAATATTAGATATTGAAGAACAGGTCAAAGGAGTAGTTCACTTTTAACAAAACTTTTGCTGATAATTTACTCACCCCCATATCATTCAAGATGTCCATGTCATTCTTTCTTCAGTCGAAAAGAAATTAAGTTTTTTGACGAAAACAGTCCAGCATTTTTCTACATTTAATGGACTTCAGTGGGAACCAAATCATTCAAGGTCCAAAAGACACTTTCAGTACAAACTGTTCAAAGGGCTTTAAATGATTCCAGATGATGAATAAGGGTCTTATCAAGCGAAACGATCAATCATTTAAAAAAATAACAAAGTTTAAGTTTTATAAGCTCAAATGCTCGCCTTGCTGTGTTCTGTGATGCGCGTTCATGACTCTCCTGTTCAAACTCGTTCATCAAAATGAACACATCTTTTTCCGAGTCAATTAGTTTGTTTCGTTCGTTGAATGAACCAAATGAATCATAAAAAAATTTGTTCATTTTGATGAACGAGTTCAATCAGGAGAGTTACAAACGTGCGTCACAGAACACAGCAAGGCAAGCATTTGAGCTTATAAAGCTTAAACTTTGTTATTTATTTATTAAATGAGCGATCGTTTCGCTTGATAAGACCCTTATACATCGTCTGGAATTGTTTAAAGCCCTTTGAACAGTTTGCACCGAAACTGTCTTTTGGACCTTGAACTGTTTGGTTCCAACTGAAGTCCATTATATGGAGAAAAATGCTGGAATGTTTTCATCAAAAACCTTAATTTCTTTTCGACTGAAGAAAGAATGACATGGACATCTTGGCATGGGGGTGAGTAAATTATCAGCAAAAGTTTTTTTCAAAAGTGAACTGCTTTTAAGTGAAAATGCAATGAATTTGCAATATAGGATGGTTTCATATCAGAGGTAACACAATTTACTCTGTGGGAGGTACGCTACAACGCTTCTTTTATTCATCAACTGAAATTAAAAATAGATTTCAGCTCTTTAAAATAAATGAGTATCAGTTAAATTTGAGAAATACATATTTTTACCTAGCCCTAGTCTCATGTATCCTGTTATCTATTTGTTTACCACAGAGACTACACTGACCACAGCGACAACTGTTGCTGGGAAGCTTCTCAGTCATGCGTTTGAGTAATCGTGTGTGTGTGTTTTGGGTGAGATTTGAAATACGGCAGGGAGACGCCAAAGAGCGCAGGAATGTTGTAGGGTGGAGGAATGCAACAGAGATGGTGGATAGGAAAAGAAAACTGGACTGTGCAGGGTATCTGGACATGGGCTTGGTGTGGTGCCATGAGATGCCAGCAGTCTTAGTGGCAGCGAGGGGATTGTAGGGGGGCTTTATCGCCTAATCTTTTTCTAAATACTATATAGACTCTATTCTGTCTGTTTATTAGAGCCACAATTGCCACAGAAATACCAAAGACTCTGGTCAATTGAGACAATATTGAGTCAAGTATTAATATCTGGTGCTGTTTACTGAATAAATATCAGTTTACAAGAATGAAGTGCAGTTAATTATTTGTGTCCATTTCTGACTATATGCAGTGATTATCGTTGTATTCTGTCTTCCAGGCAGTCCCTGCGAAACTGTCCCTGGATGCTCTGCTGCAAATGTCCAGTGCCCAGGTGGAAGACACCATGAAAAGACTGGGCTCTAGCAGTGAGGAGTGTTCCCGCATCACCACTGCCCTCTCCTGTCTCAAGAGCGCTACTAACACAGGTCACTGCTGACTCCTTCCTCTTTCCAATCTTCATGTGGCGCCTGCTCTAGGCTTTTTACCTACCTTTAACTCTAGCTATATTAAAGGGTTAGTTCACCCAAAAATGAAAATTCTGTCAGTATTTACTCACCCTCATGTTGTTTGAATCAAACAGATCTCAATCCCCATTGACTACCATAGTAGGAAAAAATACATACTATGGTAGTCAATGGGGAATGAGATGTGTTTGATTCAAACCTTCTTCCAAATATCTTCCTTTGTGTTCAGCAGAACAAATAAACACATAGAGGTTTGGAACAACATGAGGGTGAGTAAATACTGACAGAATTGTCATTTTTGGGTGAACTAACCCTTTAAGTGTACATTTGCTCCAAAATGGTTGATTGTTTTTGTGCCACTACTGTTCAAAAGTATAGGGTCATTGTAAGTTTGTGTTTGTCTTGTTTTTTTAAAAGAAAAATTTTACTTTTATATAATTATGAGGATGCATTAAATTGATTAAACATAACATAATTACTAAAAGTTGAACTAAATTGGAATCTCAAAATATAAAAATAATACTATAATTATTTATAAATAATACTAAAATACCATTTTTACTGGAGCCCTACTTTGATCATCCACCGGTTCCTGAATTGTCCTAAAGTCTCTCTCGTTTTATGTTTTAACAGGAGGACTTCTCAGGAAAGAGGGCATCCCGTGGATAGCAGAACCCACTCAACGTGACAGTACCTCTGCTGACCCGCTGTCTTGTTCTATGCGTGCACCTCAGTCTTACAGTCCCAACCCAATCATCTGGCCCCCTTCTTCTGCTTTGCCTGCCCCTCGTTCCTGCGTCTCCGTGTCTGCCCTACCCTCAACGGACTTTCCTACAATTGTCCACAGTCACTGTGAAGTGCTGACGGACCCCTTCTCGTCCTCCCCGCAGCTGAACCGCTGCACATCCCGGCTGCTGTCCACCCCTCCAGCCACCCCACCACCCAAAAAGTCCGGCAAGCTGTGGCCCCCACGAACTCCACCACCCCCCTCCCGCAAGCTGCTAAACTTCCTTCCCAGCATCACCCTCACACGCAGCAAGAGCCAGAGCCAACTGGCCAACCGGATAGATGACCCTACACCCAGCAAGTAAGTTCTGCACTATTTTGCTCCATGGCATGATAATCTCTTCTCAAAGTTTGCTTTGAGAGGGTTTCTTTTGATGAATAAGTGGTAAATGACAGGATTTGTGTGAGTGTGCTTCTGGACTTTAAGGTGTCTTTAAAAGTGATTGTCTAGATTAAAGCAGCATTTGCTATTTGACACCTGCATATTATTTGAATGCAATCTAGATTTGCATTTCTGAAATTGCAGAAGGAAATCCAAGTGCTGGCACTGGTTCTGTGTAAATGAAATACCCTATCAGGCCTGCTGTCTTGTTGTCAGTCCTCTACACACAGAAATCACAGTCACTAGCTGCGTTGCCATTACCCTTCAAATTGCGCAAATTGTGCAATTCCTATCAACAGTGGAAACAACTTAAAATACTCTCATTTCTGGTCATACAGAAAATAATAATACATTTTTGCAACTACTTTTATTTGCATAGTCTCACAATAACAAGAAAACGTTGTGCTTTTGTAAAATAAAATAAAACAATCAGGTGTGCTTTCATGGTCTCTGTGAACTGGAGCGCGAGAACTGAAACCAATATAGCCTATGTAGACTAAAGCTTTAAATGTCCACTTTAAAACGAACAAATTTGAATCGAAATCGATGATTTTTGGAATGACTCATCGCGAGAGGAAAAAAAGACGTTTTAGACGCATAACATCGGTTAATGGAAACGCTGTTATTTCGCAATAGTTTTTTATCGAGATTTAGAAAATACCGCAAAAGTTTTGCGCAAATCTGTAATGGAAACGTGCCTACTGTGTGTGTGGCTATAAATTATTAAATACATGCAAAAAAAAACCTGACCAATCACAATGCAGTTTTCAAATAAACTACTATTCAATGGTTTTGGGGTTCTTTTTTGAAAGAAGTCTCTTATGCTCACCAAGGATGCATTTATTTGATCAAAAATACTATAAAAACAGTTATATTGTGAAATATTCAAATTTATTCAGTTTTTTGTTTTAATATATTGTAAATGTAATAGTAAATGAAAAGAAACACAGTATATTTTTCAGGATATTTGATTAATTTAAAGCTAGAAATAAAAATTTTAATCTTTTTAAACCTTATCAAATGACTCTACTGTCACTTTTGATAAATTTAATGCATCCTTGCTGATTCATTTAAGAAAAATCTTGCTGACTGCAAACTTTTGGATGGTAGTGTAGATCCATTCACATCCATTTGATGGCACTTTCACTGCTGTCTGTAACAAAAATGCATCCATTTGGACATTAGCCTGCATCATCTATTGATTTTCCCCCTTTCTGATACAGCCTAATTCTATAACACCCTATGTGACTCTATAATCATGTCAGAAACAATTACCTCATTGTACAGGGATGAATTAATGCACTGAGGAGGAGATGGGAATGGAATATGTTCATCTGAAGGGTGTGACTATTTAAAGATAAAGTCTAAAGGATAAAAGCCTCTTTAAACAATAAAATTAGTCACAAGGCTAACAGTAACATGAAACTACACAGAAATATATGCTGACGTGTGTTAACTTTTTAAATCTTGAGGTAACTGTGAATTTATCCATTCCACACATAATGAATATTCTGTCATTGTTTAGTCACCCTAATGTTGCTCCAAACCGGTCTGACTTTGTGTCCTTGGTGCTGGTTGCCCTTTTCCATGCACTTACATTGAATGACCGCTGGAGCTTTCGAGCTTTGAAAATGATACAAAAGCACCCACAAAAATCACATACGGATGATTTGTGCACATTATTCCTAGTTTTCAAAAGCCATATGATGAAGCCATAAAGGAACAGAAAGAGATTTATTATTTACATTCAGTGGGCTGTGACTTATTCATTGAATCGGTGAGGTCTGTCCAAATTCCCAGTGAATAACAACTTTAAATGATGGTTTGCATAAAGCTATCTTATGGAGTTTACAAAGCCTGGAACAGGTCTTAAAAAACGTCATATGGAACACTTTTATGATACTTTTATGGTTTTATTCAGTCCTTGATTCTGATTGGTCAGTAGCAGTGTTTTATTTACTCTGCTTTGCGTTGTGCCTAACAACGCCCTTGAGTTGTGACTTATTTACGATACAGCAAAGCCTCTCGTACATTATTGCTTACTTTGACAACCCCATTTCTTTGTTATACTGAAAGTTGCCTGGATAAATTCCAGGACAAAAGGACAAAAATCTTTGTAACATTGCATCTATGTCTCTTTTACAAAACTTTGTTTTTAGGATTTTCAGTTATATGTTGAACAATATTTGATTCACATAACATGGCGCCTCACTTGGCAAAAATGTGGGATATTTTGCCCTGAAGCATAAATGTAGAAATCCTTCTTAGGAAAAATGTTCTTCATATTATTTTAGTTCATGCTTTTCATATGTATACCATGCAATGTCGCCCTGCCCCAGTGTGTGTTGGGTCTGTGGGAGCGGACTGCTGTGTCATCTGAGATCACTGATGGCCGAGGTCCAGGCAGGTTTTGGACAGGGGCAGAATAGTTCAACACTCCCCCTCCTTCCACCCCTTCACGTAGCCCCAGTGTTTCCCGTTAGCACAAGACCGAGGTCAGACCCCTTCTCAGACTCGCTGGCGTCCTGCGCTCGATCATTCCCGCTTCTCTCCTCTCTCTCTGATCCAGTAAATGTCTGCTTTTGGAGCTCCTCCTCAGAATCTCTGTGTGAACTGAAGTCCACCGCAACTCCCTGGATGTGAAGCTGCACGCCTGCATTCGTACAACATTTTTTAAATATTTGTGGTGGCCAAGTTGCAGATGTGTTTTCATTTAAAGTTCTATAGAAAAATGTCTTGCTGGGAGGTGATACAGAGTCATTACAGGAGAACTCCGGCGCAAAATGAACCTTTGGTCTAATTACACATTGGTACCTAGTCGACCGTTCTCTGCGATTTGTTTTCATGATAATCGAATATAAAGAGTTTTTATATTATAGTTTTTATATTTTATAGTTTTTATATTTTATATTAAAGAGATATAAAGGGCATTTAATAATCGCTAGTTAATTCCACTAACAAGGCTCAAAATAGCCCCACACTAACACAGTAACATAATTAGGGTCCCTACATCCAAAACGAAGCATTGAGAAATTTGTACAGACCGTTTAATAAGAAGATATTTTATAAAGACAGTGCACTTCATGTATACAGGCTGTGCCATCTTTGGAAAACAGTCTCGACAAGTCGAACCACGAACAACGTGCCTGGTTTTGGTTCACACAGCGCGCGTTCGGGACTGATTCCGGCAATATGACTAGGTCCCCAACCCAGCATCAATGCCGGTATCAATCCCGGGTCGTGTTTGCGTTCACACAGAAAGCATTCTGACGATTTCCCGGCAATTTCCCTGGATCAATGCGCTGTGAGAAAGGGGCTGTAGACAAATCACAACTGATGGGACTATCTGACCAATCAGAGCAGGGTATGCTCTTGGAAATGATGGGTTTAGAGAGACCAAATCCTTGATTGAACCATTTCAGACTGGGAAAAAAGGAGGTGGTGATGCTGCAGTGTATATTATGAGAAAATAAAAGAGTTTTTTTAACCTTGGATGCATGTAGGAGGAACCTTTAAATAGCATAATAGTTACTTTTGATGTCAACTACCCAGATACTAAATATAGTTTTGTGTCCCTCACCCTGCAGGAGTGGAAAGAAAAACAAACCGCTTCTGAACGTGCAGGTAAACGGTGGAGGAAATGGCTGGGAAGACTCACCCTCACGGTCACCACTGCTGTCTGCCCGCTCCCCCTGCATCCTACCAAATACACCTAGTCACCTGGGAGATCCTGCGGCTATAAGAAGTACGCTTTCTTATTTAGCCCTAGTACAAGACAAGCTGTGTACCTAGACAGCATTGTAAATGTCACAAATGTGTTTCCATCATAAAGGCTGATCCAAAGACAGCAATGCTATGCTTCCTTTTGAAATGTGTAGTGTATGTATGATTGAGTATCACAACATTAGCTTAGCAACATGCTAACACTAAACGTTTGAGTCCAATCCGTGTTTCTTCGACATCATCTAGATAATGTTGCATCCCACGGAAGCTCTCCGTTGATCATGAGGAAGGATATTGGTCTGGATGTCACACACAGGTAATGCCCACTGAACTTTTTCCTGTTCTTATGTACTAGTTTGTCTTTCAACTTTCAGCACAACTGACTTTATTATTGTGCCGATTCAGGTTTTCCACCAAGTCCTGGTTGTCTCAGACGTGCCAGGTGTGCAAGAAGAACATGATGTTCGGTGTTAAATGCAAACATTGCAAGTAAGTGAGTGAAGACAAGAAACATTTCGGAAAACCGCATCTGACTTTCTCCCTGCTAATGTTTGCTTCCATCTCTTTTAGGGTGAAATGCCACAACAAATGTACTAAAGAGGCCCCTAAGTGCAGGATTTCATTTGCACAACGTAAGATTTTGTACGAGTTGGAATATGTTTTCAGACAGATTTGTGCTGAAGATGATCTAAAGTTCTGTCCTGTTCTTTCAGTTCCAAACAAGGTCAGTTCAAACATCAGAAGAACAGAATCAGTACCGTCAGATATCAACAACCAGGTGGAGCGACCGGCAGAGTCGCAGCTGTACGGAACATTGCCGAAGGCAATAAACAAAAAGGCATGTAGCAATCCACACAAACCAGGAAGTTGAGGTTCTCATTATGCTAACTCCTTGTATATGCTGACCAGTGGTGGAATGTAACGAAGTACAAATACTTCGTTACTTTACTTAAGTACATTTTTCACGTATCTTTACTTTACTTAAGTAGAATAAATAGTGCCTACTTTTTACTTTTACTTCGTTACATTTTGCAGCAATTATTCTACTTTCTACTCCATTACATTTCTACAACTTCTGTTACATTTTCATTATATTTTCTGATCAGTTTTTCCCCTGCCAAAACGTAATCGGACCGTCCGTTCGTTGCACGTTTGTCTCACCAGTGACGTTTGGTTGCCATAGATACATAAACTAAATGCGTCTCGCACGCAGTGTGTTTATCGTGCAATTTATACGCGAAAATTTGTTTTTACATGCATAGGAAACACACGGTGTGTAATATCAGATACGTTTGGTTAGGATTATGGCAAGCCAAGAGGTTCAGAATTACACCATAAATTAATCGCGTTTACTGCCAAACATAGTTATTAACATATAGTAAGGATAAGCATGGTTTATATTGCCTAATTGCAAGCTTGTTTCAGAAATGGTGACAACAATTTTTTTCCATCATTATTGAACATCATTAGGAGTATTAGGTTGAATGAGTTAGAATTAAATGTTTTATTAATCATTAGAATAGTCATTAAGAGAATCAATTATTATGCAAGTACTTTTACTTTTAATACTTAAAGTACATTTAAAATCAGGTACTTTTTACTTTTTACTTAAGTATGGTTGTCATTGTGTTACTTCTACTTTTACTAAAGTAAATATTTATCTGGTTATTTGTACTTTTACTTAAGTACTGAGATTCAGTACTTCCTCCACCACTGATGCTGACTCAGTGGTGTTATAAGTCTCTTAAAGTTGAAGTGTCATTTTTTTTAAATACTTCAATAAGAATTAATAAGAAGTAAATAAATGTAATGAATTGTAAATGTAATGTAATTTTCATGCTAGTGGCTAGTTTTGCTATTGAACTTCTATTTCATTATTAAGTCATAACTGTTTTTAAACATCCACTTTTTCACCTTGTTTCTGGAGAATGTTTTCTAAGATTTGTGTTTACCTTCAGGACCACCCTCCATCCCTGAGTCACCTGGACTCCAGTAGTAACCCCTCCTCCACAACCTCCTCCACCCCCTCCTCACCTGCCCCGTCCAGTCAGAGCAACCCCCCGAGCGCCACCCCGCCACCCAACCCCTCCCCTAAGGGTCACGTTGACAGTCGCTTTCACTTCCCAGGTCAGTCAGGTTCAGTTTACACAGAAACCACAGTATCTTATTTACCCTTCCGCGTCTAAAACCATTTCAAATTTGACATGGCAAGGTCTTTTTGAAGCACAGCAGGCACTTCTTCGTTGTCTGTCTGTCCTCCAGTCCTCAGAATTAACCTCTTGGATGAATGTATACTAACATACTAATATCTGCCCTTAATGTTCCGCTGTCTATTACTAAAGCATTTCTAAATCGTTCCATTACTAAGGAATTCTTGCTGATGCATAACACGCTAGTTGTTTAACTGGTCTTTCTCTTTTCCTTGTGGACATCTGTCTGTTTTCCCATTCATTAGCTGCCTGCTACTTTCAGCATAGACCGCAGTTTGTCTTCCCTGGTGAGTTAACAATCATCCACACCATAAAACTCTGTTATTTACCCTTCAGGTGTGATGTCTTAGTTCCTTGTTGAGGTATCACTGACAACTCAAGTGTGCTCTCTAAATCTTGAGAGCTTAACCTGCAGTGAACTTATACTGTAGTGAGATTAAGGCCTTATCCCAAATGGAACTCGAAGCCCTTGAGATCTTCCTCCGAGTTCATGTGACGTAATGCTGCACTCGACAAAAGTGTGCATCGTAAACACATATTGTCTGTGAGGCGGGTGGGGGGCGCTCATGAGCACCCTTCTGAAACCTAATATGACAAATGGGACACCCTACGGCCTTGTAAGTCCCCAAGATCGCAAGTGCACATGAAGTATGCCATTTGGGAAAGGGCCAGTGTTGCCATCAGTGTTTAGACTGTGATGTGCTGCCTCCTAGTGGTTATCTATGGGAATTGCTTTATTTTTTGCAGTATTTTGCATTTTCAGCTCTCTGTGTACATGCATGGAGAATCTGAAACGCATATTATTCTAGTGTATAGTTTACATTTATATTAAAGTTGTTAACACGCAAAAACTATTCCTATTGCTCAAATCCTTAACCTTAATCCCTAGGACACATTAAATGGATCAAAAGTGACAGCAAAGACATTTATAAAATTACAAAAGATTTTTATTTCAATCAAATGTTCTTCTTTTGAACTATTCAGCAAAGAATCCTGAAAAAAATAAAATGAGTTAAATAAATGAAATAAATCAGTTTCCACAATGAATATCAAGCAGCACAACTGTTAGAACTTAAATCTGAACGTCTAATAGCAAGCACTCTGAAGTACACTTACACTGCTCATGCAGTCACACACTCAGAATCCCTTTTTGTCTTCTCAGACGTATCCAGTTCCCCGCATCCAGATGGCAGTTACAACACTGGGTAAGGCAAGACTTCTCAATTACTGTTTTTTTTCAGTATGTCTAAACGTGTTTTGACCCCGGACCAGTTAAATGCACAAATGTTACTGATTTTGGTTCCTCGTTTTAATTTCTGTCAGTGACCTCCCCTCATTTTTGGTAATTACTTCATCACAAATTAAAATTTAAGTTCACACAGAACCAATGTAGCAGCAACTTCCCCTGCAAGTTCAAACTTATTATGCATGCTTCTTTGAAGTTCATTCAAAAGCTTTTTACTCGCCTACATGTTGATCCCAATCTGTTGGATTGGCTTTCTTCCGTGGAACACAAAATTAGATGTCAAGCACCATAAAAGTTGCTTAACATGTCTTCTGAAGTCATTTGATACCTTTGAGTGAGAAAAAGCTCAGTTAAGTAATTATATGCTGAAACACTGAAGTTTTTTTTTAGACGGAAATGTTTTTTTTAGCTTTAATTGAAATGAAGCTGAAATAACACAAAATATAGAAATTAGATGAAATATAAAAATGATAAATGTTGCCTTTGCAACTAAATGAAATAGAAGACATTAAAGTTACATAGAAATATTAAAAAAGCTAATAAAAATGACAAAAGTATATAAAATTACTAAAAAATTCAAAGCTCTTTCATATTATTTGATAGTATAATAGTATATAATACTACTTAAATAACACAATATACCCAGGTGACTGGGTCTCAAATATAATTTAATTCAAATGTTTCACACAAGGTTTTGATGTCAGAGACAAAACAGTTGACATCAATTTTTCCTTTATTTGTGACCCACATTAGAAAGTCACATGGGTTCAGAAAAACGTGAGTAAATAACAAAGATAACAAATATAAATAATGTATATTTAAAGGTGAACTATCCCTTGTAAATGATCGATATCATATGTAGTATTTATATACTGCTAAATGGTTAAATGTGTTGAGTCTAGCGTGTCTTCTCTCCCATGCAGAGAAACAGATCAGTTGGATGGTAATCTTAAGCAGACATCAACAGACCAGAGGGAAGCTGTGGTGAGTTCCGCAATAAACACCTTCCACCCACAGAGCTATCAGGAATTGAAAGCGTTTGTTGCCACAGTTTCCAGTTAATAGTGGGGGTCAGTGGTGTATTTGCGGTCAGTGGTGTGTGTACCCTGGCTAGACAGTACTTACATCTGTATTTTGAATTGTGTAAACTCAAAACCTATTCTTCTTATTCAGGATGAGGAACAGCAAGGGGATGATGGTCAGGATCAGGAGGGATCGGATGATGAAAGTGAAGGTGATGAAGTGGATGACCTGCCCAACTGCAAGGGCTACTGGAAGGACCACATAAGCCGTAAGGCCAGCCAGACTAGCGTTGACCTGCGGGAGTGGGATGTCCCGTTTGAGCAGCTGGAGCTGGGTGAGCTGATCGGGAAAGGCCGCTGGGGGAAGGTGTGCAGGGGCCGCTGGCACGGAGAGGTGGCCGTTCGACTGTTGGAGATTGACGGTAACAATCAGGAGCACCTGAAGCTGTTCAAGAAGGAGGTGATGAACTACCGGCAAACGCGGCACGAGAATGTCGTGCTGTTCATGGGGGCCTGCATGAACCCGCCCCATCTGGCCATTATCACCAGGTTCATCTCTTTCTGCACTCTCAATGTTGTGTCGTTCATGTACACTGACATTCAAAAGTGTTTTATTTTCTGAAGAAGAAATTAAAGCAAAGGTGCATTAAAGGTGGGGTAAGTTGTTTTTGAAATATGCTGTTGGCCAATGGTGATATAGTCTAAATCAACCCAAACAAACACTTCATTGCTCCGCCTCCAAAACACACAATCCAATCCTAACAGCCCTAGTTCGGTCTCGAACCACAATCCCCCTACTAGTGAGTCGAGTGGACTAGCAATGACTCTAAACACCGCTTTCACTGGCAGTCGTCAGCAATACTCACACTAGCTGTCCTCCGTTACGCATGCAATCCAAGAGAGGGTGTTTGTTTATCATTGCAGAAGGGCAACAAAATAATGTTTTATGAAAAATAAAGCACAGATGATGGACGAATGACAAGGAGGCACAAAAAATAAATGTACAGTACACAATAGTAATTACAAACAAGAGTTGGTTGTTCGTTGCCAACAGTACAGCAGCTCCAGACACACAATGACACTCAAACCCAGTGTTACTCACGTGTGGACCCGAATCAAAGCAACCTCCACGTCTGTTTTCAGCCTTCCCACTTCACTCACTCCAGCGCTGAACAGCATTTCTAAAATTAACAAGGGTCCTAAAGCTCTTGCCCAGACATAACCCTTTATTTTCCAGGTATTTATTATGTGCTCTTTAGTTCAAATCTAACCCTAATGCTGATTGATTGGCTGCTACACTTTTGTTGTTGTGTCGGCTGACTAACTTCCAAAAAGCATATTTAAAAAACTACTGATTCCACCTTTAAATTGACCAAAAATTACTGTAAAGAGATATAATGTTACAAAAGATTTCTGTCTCAAATAATGCTGGTTCGACTTTATCAAATAATCCTGACAAAAAGTGTTTCCACAAAAATATTATGGAAGAATTAAGTTTTCAACATGCTTCTTTGAGCACCAAATCAGCATATTTAGAATGATTTCTGAAGGATCCTGTGACACTGAAAACTGGAGCTATGATGCTGAAATTTCAGCTTTGCCAGCACAGGAATTAATTTGAATTTGTTTTAAATAGTTATTTAAAATTATTACAATATTACTGTTTCTACTGTTTTGTTGCAATGCATCCTGGTGAGCATAAGAGACTATAAAAAGGAACTTTTGAACGCTAGTGTATATTTTTTGAATGTTTAATATGGGTGCATATGTGTGTTTGGATTTTGATTGATTTATTTATCTATCCATAGCTTTTGTAAAGGGCGGACACTGTACTCTGTTGTCAGGGACTCTAAACTTGACATCAACAAAATAAGACAAATCGCTCAGGAAATTGTAAAGGTATGAAGCATAACATGCAATACATGTTTTTGTTTTATTTTAAATGATTCATCAATGCATGTCATTATCCAAAGAAAATGAAAGAAGGGACTTCAATTCCTATTGCCTCCATATTGAGTGCAATGGTTATACACTTATACTGTCTTTGCTTTAACTGTTTGTTTGGTTTTTTTTTGCTTTTTTTTTTACATTCTACAGGGAATGGGTTACCTTCATGCAAAGGGAATTGTGCACAAAGATTTGAAGTCCAAGAATGTGTTTTACGATTCAAATAAAGTAGTAATCACAGATTTTGGCCTGTTTGGGATGTCTGGAGTGGTCCAAGAGGGCAGGTAAGGTTTCATATCATGACTGCAGTATTATATTTAATAATCTTATCATACAGTATGCTTTGTTAAGAGCTTCATTAACGCATGTGTGTGTAGGCGGGAAAATGAACTGAAGCTGCCACGCGGGTGGATCTATTACCTAGCTCCTGAGATCGTGCAAAAGATGGGACCTGGAAACCAAGAAGACTGTTTGCCCTTTTCAAAAGCTGCTGATGTTTACGCCTTTGGGTAAAAGCCACATCATTTTTTCACCTCTGCATCTCATCGAATCTGCCTGTTTAAACACTTGGTTTGGGTGTGAATGTTTCATTTCTGCTTACTTTTTTTCTCACAACTCAATACTTTTTCTGATTGATCAATCACTTTAAATGCATTTTAAAAATAATATATATCATGCCAACAATGGAGTTGATCAGTTAACTGTAAATGTGTCTGTCTTAGCACTATCTGGTATGAACTCCAGGCTAAAGACTGGCCCATCATCAACCAACCGACTGAAGTTTTGATCTATCAGCTGGGAAGTGGAGAAGGCCTCAGAACATTACTGGCCCAGAAGGGTACAAGCGTGGGCAAGGAAGTTACGGTGAGTCCAGCCCCAGTACATTTAAAATTATATTATTATATCAGTGGCGAGCGGTGACTTTTTTTAACCGGGAATGCTGGATGGCGCCTTATATGAAAAATTCATCTGGTGCATATCCACTGGATCATGAGTTTATAATGGGTTATAATAAGCGAGACGCTCGCGTTCGATCTAGACAGAGTGTTAGCTGTTCAGTTGCTTACTCTCATGACATGTTTGACCTTTGACCTTTTGTTGAAAGAATCGTACATTTACCTGTTGATGCCTTCACAAGCACCCCTAAAAGCAATTGAGTCAAGCGCAATGCGTGAAAGGGACAAAATATGCTGCATTTCTTTAATTCCGCTTGGTGGCATTAATGTGACAGAAACTACAAACTGCACCTTTAAAGAAATACTTCAGGATTTAGCTTTAAGCTTTGTATTAGTAGAAAACCTGTAGTATTTTCAAATTACCATGTGTTCCACCTTCATATCACCCGAGATTTATGGGTGATATGAAGACGAGAGATTTATGTATTTTTTTTGTCAGATGATGCAAAAATCAAAGACTACAGACAGTAGTAGGGGCTGATCTGCATGTTCTCAACCCGCGCATAGACGGTGGGATCTCACTCACAGAATGTACACAGTGTCAGCCATCTTTTTTTTGGAAGCTAAGCTAACAGGCTCTTGTTCTGTGGAGAAAGCGGAGTAGTAGTTGTTACCATCCTTACCACTTACTAGTAGCCTAAACTTTTTGTTTAACTACTGCGCTCTGTTACTGGTAGGCGTGGCCTCCTAGGGCAGCGAAGCAAGTGCATTCTGGGAGTTGTTGTCTTTCATTCATATAAGACTCAGTCTTATACTAAGTCTTTCTCAGTCTAGAAAGCTCCAAATTCAAAAATAATTTAACATTTCTTGTACATAAATGATTTTAAATACACATTCATCTTTCCAGAGGTGAAGAATCCTTTTAAACGGTACTGCACATCGGCTGAAGATCTAAAGATCTAAATCAGAGACGTCAAATTATGGCAGGCGTCAATTTAAATGTATGCCAGAAGTGTTTTTTTTAATTATTATTAAGAATTGAAAATAAGTATAATATAATAAATATGAGTAGCCTATTATAAATACAATATATGTCAAATAGAATCAGTATTCTTTAAAAATAAGCTGAAAAAATGCAAATAGATGATTCAAATGCATAGACGATTGATTTCCTACTTACAGTAGGTTAACAGTTTATTAGTTTTTGTTAAAAATAAATTTTCTTATGGAGAAAATTAAATAGCCTACTGTGAAAATATAGTTGTGACTCTTTTTTTCATTTGATTGAGTCTATTTAGTTTTGTATCAAACACAATGTTATTTTCGTTGATCGAAATCTGGCAGCAACTGCAGATTTTTCCTCTTGGGAGAGCAAGTCTGCGCATGAAATTCCCCAAATGACAGCAAACCAATGAGAACGCGGGACAATGGTGACGATACATAGCAACAGAGCTTCGGGGCCAAAACTGCTGTGGATCCGATTACCTGAAACCCGCTGTAACTGGCGGATTTGAAGAAAATAACTGTCGTTCTGCAAATAAATAAATGACGGAGAGTATTCCCAACATTTTAGCATGTAAGCTTTATGATACATGTCCAACATGGGAATCTATAGTGTTAATGTTAAGTGAATCCATATACAGAGCATTTGTAGCTTATATGTGATTATATGATGCATACTTTAATATGGTCATTGTACTCCCACTGTAGGAGATCCTGTCCGCCTGCTGGTCCTTTAAAGTTGAGGACAGACCTACATTCACTCAGCTGACAGACTTACTAGAGAAGCTGCCGAAGCTCAATCGCCGGCTCTCGCACCCCGGACACTTCTGGAAGTCTGAGGAGTATGTATCCTAGGCTGGATCGCTGGCATGCTGCGGATCCCCCTTTTTTGGAGGGTGTAGTTTAGTGAGCATGGAAACTAACTGATCGTTTGGAGCCGACCTGTGCATTGTTTTTTTTATTCTGAGCCTTCATTTTACACTATTGGATTTTTAGTGTAGCGAGTGTCAGGAGGATGCTGTGCATGAATTCAACTGAATGAATGCTGTGTCACATTTGGTCAAGCCTGATATCATATGGTGCAGGAAATAAGTGATGAAAAAACGAGTGTGAGTGTTTTTCTGCTACAAAGGTTTTTGCCTGTTATATGAATGACTGGTCTGGTTTGCTAATATGTGTGAAGCTTGTGATTTTCTCGTTTATTATTCACCATATAGAAATTCAGAACCAGATACTGTTCTGGTTCAGAGGGAAGGTGCCCATTTATTATGCCTGTTACGCTTTTGAAGATGTTCATATGTCCAGATATCTGGCCTGTGGTCAGTAATGCACCTGTTATATTTAAATAATATTGTTTAGTCTGTGGTGGAATGGGCACAATCAGATCATTATTTTTATAATAAATAATATAATGACAATATTTGTAATTATATTGTTAATATTAATCAGTAAAAACAACTGAAAAACTTTTTATGAAAAAAGTAATGTTTCTGTATGTTGTTTCTGCCCTTTTTCTTGTCACTCTCTCTCATTCTCGGAATGGCCCGAACTGTGATCACATCTCTGTCATCTGCTGTTCCTGTTTCTCGATGTTTCCTGTATCACCACCAACACGTCACTTTATTTTCTCCTCTGTACTTTCCTTTCTCCTGTTCAGCGCATGGCATCACCACTGTCTGCGCGAGCACTGCAGTCCAGGCTTCCGTTCTCGCTGTCCCTATGTGTACAAATACGAGCATTTGTCCACGGCTGCCGTTAATATTAGCTTGGCTGCTGCATTCAAAGAAAGCAACTGATTTAGATGTCTGATTCTATTCCGTTTATTTCCTGTGTGATTCATTGATTTCTATGCTTTCTAGCGTCTTACAAATCTTGGCACTGTTCATCTTTGTGTTGATTTTCCTTAGCAGTTCTTATAGTCTCTTAAGCTTTTTAACCTTTGCCTGTTCTAATGCTGAGCAAAGCCATTTTAGCTAAACTTTGTACATGGAAAATATGCTGACAGGATTTCCATCCTGTTTTTATTGAGCCAGCAGACCATGCCATGTTTCAAATTCCCCTTGTGTGCCGTCACATGAATGAAATGTGATCTCCATTGCACTTCTGGTAGTCAAGACCGTATGCTTTTGCAATCCGCAAACCTTCTACTGTATTTTTACAGAAGTGACTTCCTTTTTCCACATTGTTGCTCAAAATTAAGATTTAAATAAATAATATTTTACCGGATACTAATCTGACCTACTCCTACCAGGACAGTTAAAGAGCTGTTAAATGAAGGGTCCTGACAAATTATTTGTTATATCATAAAGTATGAAAGAGATTTTGACCCAGCAGGATGGTGTTTAGAAACTTTTCATGTCTAATACCTCTCGTGTGTGTGTGTGTGTGTGTGTGTGTGTGTCAGTCAGAGTGAGTGTGTGAGTGTGTGCATGCAGAGTTTTGGGTGATTTATTTGTGGTGTTATAAACATTGAGAGGATGATTCTTTTAGACTGTAGTGAACTATTGACAATAGTCAATGTAGTGAACAGACAATAGGGAACTATTGTTTTATTTATTGTACAGCTAAGATTTCTTGTATTATTTGTACAAAATGTTATGTTTCCATCGCAATATTTTGAAAAGGTACTTTACTCCTGTTGTACAGCTCTTTATATACAGTGTTTCGGACATAAAATGTAAATTTCTTGAGTGAGATTGTGGTTTTAATGTTATGAAATTATGAATTCATATTTTTGTAAAGCTTTTATCCTCTTGTCTGTAAACACAATGTAATTTTATCCTGGCAGAAATAATAAACAAACGAAACATTCATTTATCATTTATCCAGTTCATGAGAGAGAATTGTTAGGGGTAAACCGTTAAAGACCCAGAACCAGATATGATGAATGAACCAGGAGTCAGAATTATAAGAAGTTAAAGGAAAGATTTACTGAAGATAGTTTGCAGTTTCATCAGCAGAAATCAGCTTCAAGACTCACTCAGGAGTTTGTAGACCACTGCAATTACACCATTCACAAAGGTCTAAGCTACGTCCTTGCTTCAGGTTGCAGTTTCTGATTGGTTAAAAACACATATAGTCCAAGTAATTTTCCTCACATATACAGACTGAAGGATCTCTCCATAGATTACCCTGAAGTTTAGGCACGTCATGACCTTCCAGGTTGCAGATTTGGGTTGCTAGGCGGCAACACGTCGAAGAAAACAAGTCAGTCAATCCCCTATAATGCCAGTGGTTCCTCAAACTGCAGCCAAGAAGACTAACACACACACACACAACTTTTCTATTGCTGGAAACATTAGAGATTTTGCTCAATATTGATGTGATTGGATCAGTCAGTTGCTGCTGATTTGATGGCTGCACATCCAAGAGGAGAATCTCCTGTTCCACCACATTATGGTATCTTTGTGACGCTCTCCCACGTAGACGCTGCTGCTGAGAAGGGGTACACTTCTATTCTCCAAGTGGAAGAGGCAGTCGCAGCGCACCTTCGCCCACCCTCCAGTGGGTGGCGGTCACAGGTTGCCATCCCTTCAAAAGCCTGCAGGACTACATCAGCACTCGTTGGCCACTCCTCCTCTGCCGCCGAACAAGCTGCTTCCGCCCTGCACTCAATGGCTATTCTCCAAATCATCCAAGCTGACCTCCTCCGCGAATGAGACGAGAGGGCCTCAGATACAGCTGTCGTCATCGATCTAAGGAGCGCGACGGATCTCTCACTTCTCGCCTCTAAGACTGCAGAACAGGCCATCGGCAGATGCATGGTTGCGCTCGCCATCAAAGAAAGACACCTCTGGCTGACGCTCGCCGACATGAGGGAATCTGAACGCGGCAATTTCTTCAATGCACCACTTTCTCCTACCGGTCTCTTTGGCCCAGTGGTCAACGGAATTATAGATCGCTTCGAGCACTCATACCGGTCAGGCTGCGAATGTATGTCACAAGCTCACTCACGAGCGCTTCCTGTCAATTGTCAGCTCGCGTTTCAAAAAGCTATCGTAAAACGCTCCCCATTCGGTGTGATCGGGTTGTCACAGACAAATCAGCTGAAAGCAGCTGTCAGCAAGCCGCTTTGTTCAAGCACAGAGGTTCAATGCCCACATCTCCGGTTCAGTTCCCCAAGCCCACAGTGTGCGGCGATCAGGACCCGTAGACCATTTGGAGACTCCCCTTGGCTACACATGAAAAAGCATGGGAAGTGATTTTCTCCCTCTGCGAGACAGCTCTATTTGTCTAAATGGGTCTGTGTTTTCCTCAAATGGTGCACTGACAGAAATCTGGATCCACGTATGGATGAGGTCTCGCAGGTGCTCGGTTTCCTTCAAGAGATGTTGGATAAGGGCAGGGCCCCATCCACACTTAAAGTTTACGTGGTCATCTGCTTCCAGAAGGATGAACCCTTCGCTTCCGATTTGGGATCTCTCCTAGAGGCCCTAAAGATGTATCCCTTCGAACCTCTAGATTCTGTAGATCTAAAATACCTCTCACTCAAAACCGTTTTTCTTTTGGCTCTGTCATCAGTCAAACGTGTGGGGGACTCTGTTAGCGCCGCGTGTCTTGATTTTGGTCCGAATGACTCGAAGGTCATCCTCAAACTAAGACATGGCTATGTCCCGAAGGTGATTTGCACTCCCTTCAGAGCACAGGTTATTTCTCTTTCGGCTCTGCCAGCATCCGCCAGCATCCTCTGCCCCGTTAGGGCACTGAGAGTTACATTACGTACTCCGCCCCTTTCAGATGCTCTATACAGCTTTTCATTTTGTTTGGTGGGCGCGCCAAGGGTCTCGCCGCATCGAAACAGGCCCTATCCACATGGATAGTGGACGCTATTGCTGCTGCTTATGTGTCAAAAGGTCTGCAATGCCCTCTGGGCATCAGGGCTCATTCCACCAGAGGTATGGCCTTGTTGTGGGCATGGTCCAGTGGAATTTCCATTCACAACATTTGTATGGCAGTGGTCTGGGCCTCCCCATCTACATTTGTGAGATTCTATAACATGGAAGTTCTGTTGAAGATTTTATTATTTAGAAAATAAGTAATTTAGCTGTGTATTAGTACACCATTATGTCCTCTGGGTGTGCGTCTTTGGGTTTGACATTTGGAAGCCTGAAAGGCCTGAATGCTGATACAACAGAGAGTGCTATTTCAGTATGTATTTCTCCAAATATCTATAAGAATGTGTTGCCATTTTGGGAGGTGATGTATATGTGAAACTGGCCAACTGTTCCGGAGTGATTGCCTGCAGGAGAAAGGAATCTCCTGCTGGTTGGAGTGATTCTCTGCTCGCTCGGCTTTGTTTGTTAATAAAGTCTAATATTTCTGGCATCAAAGATTCTTGAAAAAGTGATTTCATAAAAAGACTGAAACACTTGCAGGCTAGACTTCTGTCAGTTTAATATGGGTATGTTCTGCCCACATGCTTGTGCGCAGGCTACTTTCATCTAGCTCTCCTGGTTGAGCTGGACTTGGGCTGATACGCAACATGCAGCCCGGCGGCACTGCTCTGCATTTCCCATGGAGGCTTATGTATTATACATGAGTCGGCCCGCTTGCTGGCCGCCTGAATTCCCACTTTTCAGTGTTCCCCAGACTTCCGGGAACTCATAAAGTGGATGCTTGGTGCGCACCGCGTTGACAAGGGATTCCCGTAGCATAGGCTAAACTTACACAATACGAGAGAACCTCTCCTAAGAGAACATACTGGATTACCTAACGTAACCTCGGTTCTCTCTAGAGAGGGAACAAGTATTGTGTAACCGGCCGTGCTAGCATCACGAGCGATTTTCGCTTCAGATGATGAAACCAGGGAAACTGCCTCTGAGCTGTGCTTTTATACGTTAAGCCACACCCTCTTGAGCGGGCTGTGACACATAGTGGATGCGAAGCGCCACCATTGGGTGTGACGTCACGCCAGACTCAGTGATAGGCTGCAGCAGTTGCCGCAGAGCAGCCAATAAGCACACAAGACAGCCTAATAGGTCTGTTAAAAAAGATGACTTTAGCGTAAGCTAAACTCACGCAATACTCATTCCCTCTCTAGAGAGAACCGAGGTTACATTTAGGTTTCCAATGAGTACATGTCTGAAAACAAACACAAGTAACAATAAATTATCGGGGAGGGCCTTTTTCACAAATATTTTAGGAGGGTCATAGAAAAATGTATTGAAGGGAGGGTGAAGTCTATTGATCTCAAAACACCTCCCGTAAACAAAAAACAAACAGTCCCTTATTATGTCCATTACGTCCCGTGTTATGTGTGTGTGTGTGTTTTCTTGGTTTCTCTCTCCGCTTATCTTGTTTACTTTCACTTCCCGTGATTGGTCCAGTAATCTGTCAATCATCATCGGCACTGACGTCATCCATCATATCTGTAGCCAATGGGAAAATACCACCTCATCTAAAAGAGAACGCCAGACGTTTCTGTTCTCCTCGTGGCTTTGTGTTGTCTTGCACAAATTATCCTGCTGTTACCTTCTATACCTTCCTATCTTAGAAATACTGTACTGAAGGCTATACGTAGGCTATATCCACTGTTCTTTATTTTCTTTACGTAGTCTTGCTTAATTTTTGCAATACTGAATGATTGTAATCACAATACAAAACATACCCTAACCACGTTAAGCATGGTTTACATCTTCCATATATTTTAATACATTTGAGCGTGAATGAGGGGGATATGACTTATCAGTTATCGCTCATAGCTTAAACTTAATATCAAGCCAAGGTCACAAAAGGCTGTTATTACTTTAAATAGAAAGCATAGCCTGAATGAGTTATCATATTTACATATTTTTCACTTTTACGAAACACACAAAAAATGTTTTCGCCTAATCTGTATCATAAGCCCCCTTGCAAAAAAGAAGTATATTTCAAGTTCATTTTATGTAGTATACTTAAGTAATGTTCAAGGATATTTTTAAGTATACATTATGTAGTAAGTATACTAATGTCACTATGTACTAGTAGTAAACTTGTAAGTGTACTATTTTAATACCGCTTGTGACTAAATTGGCCCACTTTTAGTACATAAAAGTATATGTTTAAGTGTACTATAAGTGTAACAGTAAGTGCACAACAAGTTCATAATTATGTATCTCATGTGTACTGCAAGTGAATTTAGGGGTATACTAGTAGTTTACTTTTTTACTGTAATACTTACAAGTATACTTTGAATACTTAATTATACTTTTAAGTATTTCTGGATCAAAAGATTGAGTTCAAGAACAGGACAAATATACTTGCTTTTCTCTCAGTATAAGTCAAGTACACTTAAGTGTAATTTGAAGTAGGCCTATAGACCATTTCACAAGATGTAAACAACATTGGTCCAGAAACACTTCCTGTTTCAGTTTGTAACTGTTTTCTTTATTTCACATGTAAAGAAAACACCTTAAAGATGTTTGTTTAACTTTTTGATTCAGTTTTAAATGTTCTGTTGGTTGTATTTTATCCCAGCTTTTATGTAGGCCTAGTGTTAAAAAACTGAAACAGGAAGTGCTTCTGGACCAGCGTTGTTTACATATTGTCAAATGGTCTTTTCTGAGAAGTACACTTCTGAGAAGTACAGGAAAAATAAACTGAAAGTATACTTTCTTATTTTTAGTTTAAAAGAAATACTAATGGCACACTTGAATAAACTTTTTTTTCGTAAGGGCCTCGTGGGAGGGAACGGTGGAATGTCGATTAGCGGACTGATGCAGTTGCGCAATACGAAGAGAATAGAGAATTGAAACTTTATTGTTATGTACTGTACAACGAAATTAGATGCAATCCCAATCTGTGCAACAAATACTTATATATATGTATAAATAAA